CGGCGATGTGCTTCATGCATTCATCACTGCTTTTTAGCGATGCATAGTACTCTATTGTATGTATGTACCACAGGTTTTTAATCCAATCGTCAGTTGATGGAAATTTGGGTTGTTTCCAACTCCTTGCAATTGTGAACTGTGCCGCAATGAACATTGGAACACAGACGTCTGGTCTTGGTTTGTTTCTTGCCTCTTCTGGGTATATGCCCAGTAGGCGGATTGCTGGGTCATATGGTAACTCGATTTCCATCTGTTTTAGAAATCGCCAAATCAATTTCCATAGTGACTGTACATCCCTACAGGTCCACCAGCAGTGAATGAGAGTTCCTATCTCACCACAGCCACTCCAACACTTGTTGCTTTCTGATTTTTTGAATTGAGCTATTTTTTAGGGTGTTAGGTAGTAGTTGTTTTACTTTGCATTTCTCTTATGGCTAATGATCAGAAACATTTTCTCATATGTTTATTGGCCAATCGGATTTCAGATTCTGTGAAACTTCTTTTTTTTAAAAAACATTTTATTAGGGGCTCATACAACTGTTATCGCAATCCATACACACATCAATTGCGTAAAGCACACCTGTACATCATTCTCAAAACATTTTCTCTCCACTTAAACCCCCGACTGTGTGAAACTTCTATTCAGGTCCTTTGCCCACCTCGTTAGTGGGCAGTTAAGGTTTTCTCTTATTGTAAGCTTGCAAAGTATTGTAGTCAATCATATTAAGAAGAGTTGTACAATCATCACCATAATCAATTTTAGAACATTTTCATTCTTATACTCATTCTTAGCTCCCCATTTCCACCCAACCTCCCCTGCCATACCCGTAAAACACCATTAATCCAATTACTGTTCCTATAAATTTGACTATTCTAGATTTCATACACAGAAAAACGTTTTTAAAACCCCAAAACTAGTAACAGTAACAAAGTAAAACAGAAAACCTGTAATTGAAAATAAAGCAGAAAATATTAAAAATTAGAATTAAAAATGGGTCAAACGGGAGAGCAAATGATAATTACATTTTAACCTAACTGCCCCTGCAGTCATCCTCTTACCAATGCATTCTTCATGAGACCAAAGCTCTTCACGTGCCTGGTCTATGCCAGAGGGGATTCACCAGAGGTCGAATCGTGTATTTCCCCTTGACTTTTTTTATTTAACTGTAACAACTTTTAAATGGGTCAAAAGGAGATCAAATGAATAACATTTTAACCTATGTCTGTCATAAATGGCTATTACAGTGCTGTCTGACAGCAAGGCAATTCACATCCTTCACCTATGGTCAGAGGGGATTCACAAGAGACTTAATCCATGTGTGGGCCCTACAAATGGATTTTGAGCTTCCAATGTCATCCCTAGCCTTCTGCAACCAGGTGTTCACAATTTAAGTTCTGATACCATTCCCTCCTTCAGATTTGGATTTTACTATTTAATAATCTTGCATCACACAGGCTGGTATGTTTCTTCCATGTGAACTTAGCAGATGCCTCACTTAGATGGCTGCTTGTCTGAAGACAGAATTTTTAGACCGCAGAGCAATTCCTTCTGATAGCCAGGCATCTCATAGCTTTTTCACCACTTTACTATAGCATCCATATCTTCAGTGATCTCTTCATGCAGGTGAACATCAAGTAGGGCCATGTCATAAGAACCAATTGTTCTTAGATTGGGGCTTCTTCCCATTTATAACTGAATTCTTTTTTTCTTCAGGTGTTTCTATACATTTTAGAAATTCATTGCCAAAAATGCTTCACATGTCTGTAGATACCCTTTTAACTCTTTTGGTAAAATATTCCATGCATATTGTCTAAATTTTAGGAGATCTCAACAACTAGTTTATCTTCTGTTGTTTGTGATTTTCATTGTTTGGTAATGTTTGTGGAATATATTAGAGCCTCTAAATTTGTCCCTATCTCTCCATTTATTATGTTTAGAGTTCTGTGCTTTACTTTAGGTCTTACTTCGAGGGTTTCAATTCTTCCCCGTGTATTTTACTTTGAGTTCTCCATTCTTTTCCATTTATGTTTCTATACCAGACAGGGCTGTTTTGACTAGTTGTATACTGGGCTACTTTGTTGGTCTTCTTGCAGTCGTGCAAAACAAGGGGTTGTCTTCTTTTCTGGAGAGGGTTGGTGATGTGTTTGTACATCTCTTTAAGTCTGGATTGGGAGTGCATTAGGCCGGAAGGTTGCTTTGGGTAACGTGCTAAGCTGAATTCACTACAGAAGCAAAACCAGTGACACCTAGACGTGCATGCACACAGAAAGATATTTGTATATCAAGAAGTGGCCCACAGCATTGCAGAAGTGGGTATGTCCTGTCTGGTCTAGGTCTGTGGGTAAGATGTAAGCTAGAGGCTTCCCCGACCTGTGTAGCGGCAGGGGCTGATGAACAAGAAGCAAGAAAATGAAGCAGGAAGACCACAACGTGGTGGATGCACAGCTGAATGAATCCAAGTTTGGCCAAATGAATCCTCAACTGGATCAAGGCTGTGACCCAATTAAGGAGGTGGTGTTCTATTCTTCCCACAACTGGATGGCTGCTTCGCAGAATCTCATCATGGCGTTGGCCACCATATATTATGAATAAGTACATGCACTGTGTATTTATTATATGTCATCTATAAAAAAAACTATAATTCTTTCTTTCCTTCCAATCTCGATGACTTGTTTTACTACCTTGACTAATCACTTTGGCCAGACCCTCCAGCACAATGGTGACTAGAACGAATGAGGAGCAGATATCTTGTCTTCTTTGACCATAAGCTTTTAATCTTCCACGACTAACAATGACGTAAATTATTCATAACCATTTCATAATTAGAATATTGAATATAGTGAAAATGTAATTGCTCTTTCCATTGGTCTCCAGACCCCAATGCAATTCCTACCAAAATTCCAACTATGTTTTACGGCAGGAGCCTTGGTGGCATAGATGGTTACAAGCAGGGTTGCTAACTGCAATGTAAGTAGTTCAATCCTACCAGGGGCTGTGTGGGAGCCAGAGATGATGCGCTCTACTGATAAAGATTTGTAGCATTAGAAACACCCTACCGCTCCAAAGACAGCTCTACTCTGTAGCATAAGGCTGTCTGAGAAGGACATGACTTGATGGCATTGAGTTTTACTTCGTTTTTAAGTTTTTTGTTGTTTTTTTTAAATCATTTTATTGGGGGCTCGTACAAGTCTTATCACAAGACATACATAATTTGTACATTTGTTGCCATCATCATTCTCAAAACATTTGCTCTCCACCCGAGCCCCTAATATCAGCTCATTTTCCCCTTCCCTCTTCACTCCCCTCTCCCCCATGACACCTTCATAATTTATAAATTATTATTATTATTTTGTCATATTTTACACTGACGTCTCCCTTCACCCACTTTTCCACTGTCCATCCCCCAGGGAGGAGGTTATAGTTTTAAAGTATTATTGTATCATTTGATCATAAGTATCTAAGAAATTCAAGGGACCAAAATAGCCCAATGTTTAAAAAAATAAAAGTTGGAAGTATTTGCACTTCTTAATAGGAAAAAAAATTCCGGAAAGATACCGTAATCGAGGCAGTGTGGTATCGGTTTAAGGACAGATAAACAGATGAGTGGAATAGAACTGAGAGTCTAGGAATAAAGTCAGACACGTATCTATGTAATGACTGCTGTTGAGGTGATTTCTGCAGGGCATGGCACAACTGCTCGAGACTGTCCAGGCTGTACGTGTTCACGGCGCAGAACGCCTTTCTTCTGCAGAGCAGCAGGTGGTTCCAACCACAGACCGTGAGGTTAGCCGTCAACCATATAACCCACTAGCCATCATGACTCCTCAGGCATGCAGTTAACTGACCAACAAGACAGTCCCATGATGATGGAATAATCTCTACAATAAATCATGCTGGTATAATACGACTTCGACATGAAGGAGAATGGTTTTGGAGCGCCTCTTCACAGCATTTACATAAATTAACTTAAAGCAGAACAAAGACAGGCTTATTTTTGTTAAATACACAGAACTTTACCAGAAGAGCAGGGGCACTGCTGTTCAGAAGCTGGCTTTGTCATCACAAGTCTATGGGCATCATCACTCCTATCCATGTCTACATGTTTACTTAGAGGACCAGACCTGAGAGGCTTCACATGCCTGACAGCTGTTGGGCTACATTGGCAACTTTTTAAAAAGGCCTAGAAGTAGCTAATCCTTCCTGGTGTTTGAAACCTTCCCAATGACCTTGTCCACAGAATCCGGTGGGATCCCAGGAGGAGCTGTCCTCCTACCTTGCTTTCTACATGGACAAGTGTTAATGCTGTAAAATGATCAGGGCTGTGCCCACAGGCCGTGGTGTACAGCTCGAAGGGCTATTAGATGTTCACGTGGTTGATTTTTAAAAGGACAACTGAGCAGTAAAGACAAGGGAGTGTCAGTTTTGTTTTTAACTTCCATTATCTTTTAATCTCATTTTTCTACAACCTTTTTTTACAGGCTCTTTATATAGTGAATCATTAATGATAGTGACATGCAAAAAGTTTACAGTGAAAATGTAGAAACGGGATTAGTAAGCATTATTTTCTGTAAGAAATTAATAAAGACAAGCAAAAAGGAAATACAGTGAACCCTCGCCACTTCGCGCTTCGACTTCCGCGGCTTCACTCTATCGCGGTTTTTGCATAACAGCACCCACTGCCTACACCCGCTCCTTCACAGGAAAAAGACGGCGACCCACCTGTAGAGTACATCCCTTAAGTCATTTCATAGGCTATTGATTACAGTATTTGTAAGAACTATGTATAATAATACTGTATGTGAAATATGTAATACTGTAAACTAGATGTCATAAATAATATAATAAATGATAATTGTAACGTCCAAAATGTTTTACTGTATTTTCCCTTTTTCATTTAATAAATTGGGTAATACGAGTGTAATGGTGACTAAAGGGTGTTTTTTCATGTCCTCTATGCTCTAACTACGAAAATATTTGATTTACAAATAAGGAATCCTACTTCGCAGAATTTCATTTATCACGGTAGGGTCTAGAACCGATTAACCACGATAAATGAGGGTTCACTGTAATGGGTTAGTTGACAGAAAATGCTCAGAAATGCAGGCCAACAGTTATGTACCATTAGTTGGCGCTATGTGAAGTTAGCATTCTATGTTTATTGACATTTGTTGGCATTATTTTCGATTTGGGAACTTTCCAGGTATATGAAAATACAAATAGTTTTAGGATAACTATATAATATTATCTTTAAGGAAGATGGCCGATAGTGCTCTTCATAAAATATTTCTGCGATAAACGTTACAACAAATGGAAAAAATAACAAAAGTTTAAAGTGCTTTACTATAATCTAATTTTATTATCAATGATAACATTGCCAAAAATAATATAGTTCACATTCAAATATGCCAATAGCATATACTTTTAACTTATCATAGAAAATAAGTATAAACCAAAAAAAGAAAAGTATAAACAATCTATATACACTTTACATCTTTTATACAATTTTATATACATAACCCTATATTCTAATTGATTATCTTCTGAAAAAAAGCCAACAATGTAAACCACCATGCCCTGAAAGAGCTCCCCAAACCTCACTGCTGTGAAGTTGATTCTGACTCCTAGTTACGTTACCAGGACGGATTTGAACTGCCCCGTGGTGTTTGTAAGGCTACACACCTTATGGGAGCTAAGCTCCCTCTTTCTCCCACTTAACTGGTGGTTAGCGGTGCGCTGTGCCACCAGGATCTTCTGACGGCCTGAGAGAACACAACCCTGGACCTATTGATTAGAGAACGGACGACAGTTTTTAGAGCAAACTAAATACAAAGGTTCTAGCATCGAAATTACATATGGTGGAAATCTAAATACATGAAGATGAATTTCTTGAGGCATTTATTGTGTTTCAAGATATTTAACTTTGTTCCATGCCAGCCATGAGCGACAGTGCTAGAGATTCCACTGTATGAAAAATAAAGTTAAAGAACAGATTAATATACTTGAAAATATTTGAGTAAAGCCTTAATATATTCCAAAATGCAAATTATTTACAGATTTTCTATTTTTCATCCACAGACCGAAAATTTCAAGTGTAACAAAGATGACAGTCAGCATTTATGAAATATAGGCTGAAAGAGTACATTAGACTCAACTTTACTCTGTTAACTTAAATTTTAAAATGAATAAAAAATCTAGCCATCTCACAGAGCAAATCACATTTGTTCCATATATCACCAAAAACCTGTGGTCAGTTCGCATCCCGCCTTCTAACCTGTACGTTGCATTGATTCACCTAGTGCAAGACAAACGCATTCACGCTTCAGCTAAGTCACCTAAGTGTTCAACTGCTTCTTACCAGTATGTCCTATTTTGAACCTTTATAAATACAGAACCAATTAATAACTCCTAATATTCTTCAAAAATAAGTTATGCAAAAATAAAACACTCCCAACAACCCTTCGCTGCCATCCAGTCCGTCCTGCCCGAGTGGGTTTCTGTGGGAGAGGGAGCCGCATCTCACTCCCTTGGACAGAGCAGCTGGTGTTTTCAAACTGCTGCCCTTGTGGTTTGAAGCCCAACATGTACCTACTGTGCTGCCAGGGCCCCTTACTGATTCTTTGACTCACCCAAGACCCCTGTGTCTAGCTCCCCGGCTGTGCCTCTGAACTGTGTGTGAGTTGACATGTTCTGTGGCCTTCCTTGAGATTTGTCTGATGAACGACAAATCTACCTTCTGACAAGCAGCAGTTGCAAGCCCTACACATGGGAGTAAAACGTTTCGCATTTTTTCCCTGCCATTTGCTTACTTAATAAAAACTTTACATTAACTGCTGGAGTAATACATTTTATAACAGAAAGCAAAAACCACTCACTGCCTTACATTTGATATTCACACACTCCATTGTCATGATAAAAAAGAGCCGACCAAAGAAACACCAATCTCAAGCATGGCAAATGTCAAAGAAGATTTTCAGTTTTAACAACGGCAAAAGAATCGAATTTATATGCTATCAATAAGAAAACAATGATGCACTCTCACTGCAACACGTCGTGGCACACAGACTAGCTCAAAGAAAAGCATTCGACGCGATATACTTACAGTGGGGAAAAGACCCTCGGCAGACAGCTTTGTTCAAAATGGTTACAAGAAACATATGGCAATTTTTAAAATCGGACTCCATTTTCTCTATAGATTCCATCCTAATAAGAAAGGTAAGTTTCAATAAAAATAAGTGTATAAGACAAATAGGCAGGTTATAAAATATCTTTAGACTTTCAGATGTATTTAATCTAGAGACTGATAAAAGGGCCTACGCACTGCACAGACCGTCTACAAAGACAGGAGGGAACACGCCCAGAGAGAAGACAGAGATCCCTGAGTCACTGAGCAGCAGAGACGTGGGGCCTGAACACTGGCGGACAGAAACTACACTACACAGCGGGGCTGTCCGAGGGTCAAACAGCTTACCCACAGCACAGGGCGCTGTCTGGTGCCCGACAATGAGAAGGGTTGCTCCCCACATGCCCCAGGGTGACAGGCAGCGGTGCCATCACCCAACTCCCACACATTCAAGGCCCAATCACACCCCTCTCTGCACACTTTCAGGAGTGGGGGATACAGTCTGAGAAAAGGGGCAGCACAAGAGGCCAAGACAAAAGCTGATGCGATTCACACGAATGATTGATTTTGTATGAAATATCACAGTCTTCTTATGCTTAGGAACACTAAACAATACTTTAGCACTTAGTATGTTTGGGGGCCTGAAATAGGGCCTGCAAAATACAGCAAAAGGCACACAAATGAAAAAACGGCGGCAGTAGATACACCACACTTTTTAACAAAATGAGAACAGAACACAAAAGCAGAGTGTCACCCTGCATAACCTCAGCGGGGAGACTGTGTCAGAGGACTCCAACTTTTCACCGTCTCCACAGAATTAAAAACAAACCTTCTGCCAACCCAGAAACTCTCTCCACAGAGCTCAGAGACAAAGGGAAACAGTTCTAGAACTGAGTAAGCACTAAGCCAGAGGGTTATACACATAAGAGGAATGTAGAGAGCTGGCAAAGGCCAAACAAGGAACGTTATGCATTCAGACAGCCACGCAGAGGGCTTCCGAGCACCACTGGACACACAGTTCAATCTTAAATCACCTGATAACTGGAGCAGCCACTTTTGTTAATTGCCTTTATACAAAGGGAGGAAGCACTTAAGTTCCACAGATATCTTATGCCCAGGGGTGAATCGGCAATTTGGAGTCAAATGCCAGCTACTGTTAGGCTCCGTTCTCCAGACAACGGGAAGAGAGCAGTGCCATCTTGTGTGATTACAGCTAAGAAATGACACTCGGGTCTGGGAAGGAACACTGGTGGCTGTGTATGTGGCAGAAGAAGGAGAGAGCTTTCAGGTTTCTATACATTTCAGAGAGGCAGGCAAAGGATACTTCACAAAACGGAGAGGGAACCACTCTTTTCTTTTTGTTGAAAAGGGAGAATTACTAAGGCGGCTGTCTTTTTTCTCATGTGCATTTGCTCGGACAGCACACCTGTGCGTTACTATGGAAGCACCGCAAATGCTGATTGGGGGTTAAAAAAATAAATTAACTGAAAACATTCTTAGCACAGAGGCAATAATAAAGACTGAAGCCGTACGGGCTGCGTGTTCATGCTCACTATATGAAAAAGGGGAGGGGTGGGAGAGAAACTTTCCAAATGAAGTCAGCCAAAAGGGAAACTAAAGCAGTCACAACACAGGTACTTCACAAGCGACATACTTACTTCCAAGTTCCTAGACCCGCCTGCCAACCTTCCACAAACATGAGTGCCAGATTCAACACCTTCATGATGGCTTCTTTCACAAAGCTCACCTGAAATCAAAATCATGAATGCAGCAGGTGCTCTTCACCACATTTGGTCAATGACACCAATACTGCTTACTGCATTTAAACCAGTCACAGAAAAAGATCACTTGGCTAATGAACCTTCTGTGTATACAGCAAGACGTTAGGCTCTGAAAGGAAGCCTATAAACATTGATTGACTGCACCCCTCCTAGGGCTGTTATTAGTACTACAGTCAGTCAATAGGCAATTGAGCACGTCACCATTTCTTAGGCTGGCCACTTAAATTTACCAATAAAGTGGGTCAAGTCATTCCAGTGGATATTTCATGATATACACTCATGCGGAGTTGGATATGCGCTCTGACTAAAGCACAACTGCAAGGAAGACAGCCCCACTGAATCTGAATGCAACGCAGGGTGAGCGCCGTGCATGCTGTGTGTGCCACAGACTCAGGTGTGTCTCCCGAGACAACTTCCAGCGCACAGATCCCTAACCAAACCCTCACTGGGCCTCCGCAAAGAACTCAGCAAAAAAGCAGCTCAACGATGATGAAACTCCACAGCAGTTTCATTTCCTGCCTCTGTTGCCAAGTTCCCAGGTAACATCTAATATACCTTTTCTCTTAGAAGACAGCGATCGTGGATTGTAGACAAATATCTATAGTGAATTTTAATCAATTGGTCTAAGTCCTTGGCTTCCTCAACTTGATGTTGAAATTCCAGCCCTGTGCTGTGAAGAATCTTTCAAGAGAGAAGAAAAAATGTTATCAGCAGACTTATTCTCTGGGGTTTTGTGTGCTGCATAAAGAAAATGTCATAAACGCTTCCACGTCTGTCAGATTCTTCCTTCGGCTGCTATAGGCACCATTCATTAAGGCTGGCCTGGGTCTGTTTATTCCAGAACTACGTTGGGAGTCACGTGCACAAATGAATGGGAGCTCATTGGGAACTCACTGTTCTGGAGGGAGGGGAAGCAATTGAACTGTACATAAAACACAGGGAAGACCTTTCCGTAGGAACAAAAGAGGCGTCTGGTAATAGTAAAGGTAAGAATCCTCCTTCTAAGACCAATAATGGCAGTGAGTCTGTTTGTAAGGTCTGCTTTTCAAAGAAAAAACCAAACCCAACTGAAAGCCTGAAGGCCTTGTCGTTTCCTCTGTGCTCTAAGCTGGCCTTCCGGAGCGCATCCCTGCAGCGTGGCAGCAGAGCACCTGTGCGGTCTTCAAGGGCACAACGCAGCCTGCACAGGTGCGCTTCCTCTAAACACGAGGGGTGCTGGCACTGGTACACCAAAATGACTGCGAACGAGATTTGTCTTTAGACACACATTTATCTCCAAATGAGGAACATCTTCCAGTGATACTGCTATTGTTCAACTACTTGAATTCCTCTCTCGGAATTTCCTCCAGCACTGATTTGAAGGTCTGTAAAATGATTTACGTTTATTTTTCAGTTATGCCTTGTTTCTAAGAAAAGCAAAAGCATGTGACCCTGCTGCATCCCCCTTCTTCACACACTACATTAGCCTGGGTGACTTTGATCCCTGGTAAAACTGAAGTCCTGTTCATGGGACAGTTCTGTCACTGATAATGAGATTTAAAGATTTCAAGATAAGTAGCACGTTCTGAAAGGAATTCCAAAGGAGGTGCTCTGGTAATGCCCACCCGGCAGTCAACGCACAAGAAGGCAGGGGTCTTTTGGACAGACCTAATTTGGTATGTTTAAACAATTCTCCACTGCTGTCGTGTCACTTTTATAATCCGAGTTTTATGTACCCTACTTTCACATCTACACAGTCCATACGTATTTTGAGATCTTCTGTATTTATAAATACATCTACAGATAATTATCTACAATTAACTGTACATAAGGGAACAGACGCAATGGAAAGATACAAACCCTAGTCATGATATAGTTGTGTAAGCTGTTCACAAAATGCATAAGCTTCACTCTTAAGAGGAACATCCGATGAATCTGCTGCTTTATTGATTCCCTTTGTGGTCCAAACTGAGCATTTGTATCTTGTTCATGTAAAAGTCCTTCCTTGAGCTGTGGCTTTTCCGGAGTACTCGCCAGTTCTATAAAAGATTAATAAGTATTTACTAAGATGCCATTGCAAACGGAGGATCCTGAAGAAAATCATTCCTGCCCTGAGTACTTTGACAAAGATCAGGAAGCCCAATGTCAGTGCCTCTGACTGGTGAAAAGTCCCCCATAGCATCTTTATAGTCGCTGTCAGTAACAATGTACATGTAGTCCCACTGACATGTCTTTTTAAGAACTGCAGACTGTAAGGCGCCCTGGTGGTGCTACTGGGTTAAGTGTTGGACTGCTAACCAAAAGGTCAGCAGTTCAAGCCCACTAGCCACTGGATGACAGAAAGACTAGACTATGCGTTCCTGTAAAGATGTCCAGCCTTGGAAACCCTAGATAGGGTCACTCTGAGTCAGAATGGACTCAATGGCCATGGGTTTGGGTTTTTTGTTTTTTGAAGGGGGCTGGGATATTTATTCTGGCTAAATTCTTTTTCTTTTAATACTTTTATTGGGGGCTCTTACATCTCTTATCACAATCCATGCATTCCTTCAATGTGTCAAGCACATTTGCACACATGCCGCCATCCTCATTTTCAAAGCATTCTCTTCCCTCTTGAGCCCCTGATATCCGCTCCCCATTTCTTCCCCCTCCCTCCCCTGCCCACCCTCCCTCACGAACCCTTGACAAGTTATAGAGTATTTTCCCCATATTTTACATCATCCTCCGCCACCCCTCACCCACTTTTCCATTATTCGTCCCCCTGGTTGGCCCTGTCTGGCTAAATTCTTAATCAGGATCTTGTGCTTTACGTTGACTACACATACGATTTCTAAGCATTTCAGTATAAAACCGATGAAACACACAACTCTCCTCTAGTTCTTTGGTGCTTCCTTCCCCCTACTATCATGACCTCAATTCGACCTTACAAATCAGATGTGACCAGAACATGCACACTGATACAGATAAGAGCCCACAACAGGGAATCCAGGACAGATAAACCCCTCAGGGCCGACAATGTGAGTAGAGATACCAGGAGGATTAGAGGAGGGTGGGAAAGGAAGGGGGAACCAATCACAAGGATCAATCTAGAAACCCCTCCCAGGGGGAGAAATAATGGAAAAGTGGGTGAGGGGCGATGGAGGATGATATATGGGAAAAATCTATAATCTATAACTTATCAAGGGTTCATGAGGGAGGGCGGGTAGGGGAGGGAGGGGGGAAGAAATGGGAAGCTGATATCAGGGGCTCAAGTGGGAAGAAAATGCTTTGAAAATGATGACAGCAGTATATGTGCAAATGTGCTTGACACACTGGATGAATGCATGGATTGTGATAAGAGATGTAAGAGTCCCCAATAAAAGTATTTAAAAACAATGTTGCTACAAATACACACTGTGTTGCCACTTGTGTACACATAAAAAATGACAAAAGAATACCAAATACTTTCTTCGTGGCTGAAGTTAAATTATGATTTTATCTTCAAAGAAATAAATCTTACCACCAAATAGTAAAACATCCAGACTATATTTTGCCCATTTTATTTGCAATAAAAGAAGGAACACTTGATTATAAATTTTTTGACATTCCAAACTTATAACAATGTCCACAGGCCATGGAACCTAGGGGGAAAAAAACACAACAAAATAAACTAAAGAAATAGAGAATTAAAACAGAAAGCCTATAACTTGCATATTTTAATAGAAAATAACGTTATTATAAAAAATTTCAGCACATACCTTGTAGCTCAGGGTCAGACCATCTAACATATGAACAGGGAGTTTCTTCTTAGTTGTATCAATACTTTCAAAAGATATAGAGAGTCTAAATAAAGAAATTTTAGTTTTAGCCTCTGAAAGTTACTATGCTCATATAACAAACTGCTAATAGGAAAATCAGCATTTTATCATTGTATTTACATAGTACTCAAAAAATAGGGTGATTTCATAAAAGAAATGCAAATAGTCTAATAAATGTATATGTTTGGGGCATATATTACAGAATAGGAACTTGGTTTTAAAAAGAGGAGTAAATATTTAGCTTAACTCAGGTAACACTCAGGTTGAGAAAATGCTCAAGTTTAAGGAGAGAGACGTGCTCTTCTCACCAGGTAGACGACCAAGAAGCAGGAGTAGCCAGAGTTCTAGACAAGCTTGGCTGCTTGAGAGCGCTCTCAAGGAGGGAGGGCCTGAGCAAGGTGAAAATGGGGTTCTGCTGCCTGCGAAGATGCCATCTAGGGACTTATCCACTGACTCCTTACACTAGCTTGCACAGGAGTCTCAAGAGAAAGAAAGCACCTCTCAGCGTGCCTGGAAATGTGCACGTGCAGGTGCCACTACAGGGGCGTCGGTCTATCAGCGGTGGTACCTGAATGCACACTACGGAAGATTGAAAAGACAAGGCAAAGGTAGGGAGCTATCTTTCAAAGCAGAGCTGTGAAAGGCATAGTGGGAATAATGAAGTAGTCAACTGCTTACATGGCACAGGCACTCACTCATCAGGTTTCTCAGGTTGTAGACTGTCACATTTGAATTTATTAAAGGCTTTATAGGAACCTACTGAATTTTTAATTACTCATCAAGCACCATGTTAAGCATGATGCTACGCAGCCGATAGGGACACACTCAAGGGTCCTTTACAGCTCACAACTCCGTTCCAATACATGGGCTCCTTCTCCTGCTACACAGGAGGGTAACGTGCAGACGATGCCAGGGGTAGAGGGCAGGGACCGCACCACGCAGCACTGGGTAGGCCACTGTTGGGCCATCAGAAGGAGAGAGCACTATGAAAGATCTTCAGAAAGTTCCTGGAAAATGTGTATTGTGAAAAAAATATGCACGAATCTCAATAAATTCACACTAATTGTTATAGCATGTCTGAACAGAATCTAGTTTGAGGCACTAAACAGAATAAGAATAAGACATCAGTTTCAAAAGAGCCACCATCAGGGCAATATGAGTTCTGGTAAAACTGAAGTAAAAACAAATATCAAACTTATGGCAAAGTTTGGGGAAATGGTGAAAACACTGATATTTTATGAAAACTTTATGGGAACAATGCCTCAAAGAAATTGGTTTACAAATGGATAACCTATTTTAAGAATCAAGGAGCTGCTGGAGCTACAAATCACATACATCCATGTTCCAGGGAAAAGAATTCCTCTTGTCCGTGCCCTAACTGAAGAGGATTAACTGATGAGCAGCAGAAGCAGTCAAAATCGGAGAGGCTGCAACTGATTCGTTTTACACAATTCTGAGTGAAAAATTGAAGATGAACAAACTGTCTGCTTGGTAGGTACCAAACTTGTGCTCAGATCAGCTGCAGACAAGAACAGAGCTTTCAATGAAAATCTTAAGCAATTTTAAACAAGATTAAAATCCTGAAACAATATAGTATCTGGGGTCTTAAAGGCTTGAAGTTAAACAAGCAGTCATCCAGCAGGGAAGCAAATAAGCCCACATGGAAGAAGCACACCAGCCTCTGTGATCATGAGGTGCTAACAGGATCTGGAATCAGGTATCAAAAGATCCAAAACAATTGTATCGATGGGAAAGAAGGGGGTTGGAGATGGGACCCAAAGTCCATTTGTAGACAATTGAACATCCCCCCACAGAAGGGTCACAAGGAAGGGACAATTCAACCAGGGTGCAGTATAGCACTGATGAAACACACAACTTTCCTCTAGCTCTTTAATGCTTCCTCCCCCCACTACCATGACCCAGTTCCACCTTACAAATATGGCTAGACCAGAGTACACACATTGATACAGATAAGAGCTCTCAACACATGGAATTCAGGACAGATAAAACCCTCAGGAACAATAGTGGGAGTAGCAAGGGTAGGGGAGTGGGGGCGAGAGGGGGCCAAAAGGGGACCCCATCATAAGGTTGGATATATAGCCCCACCACCAGGGGAATGAATAACAGAAATGTGGGTGAAGGGAGACACAGACAATATAAGACATGAAGTAACAATAATAATATATAATTGATCAAGTATTCATGAGGGTGGGAAGGTAGGGGAGGGAGGGGAAAAAAGAGGAGCCGATACCAAGGGCTCGAGTAAAAAAAAAAGTTTTGGAAATGTTGATGGCAACGTATGTACAAGTGTGCTTAATACAGTGAATGATGGATTGTTAAAAAATGTGTAAGAGCCCCACAATAAAACGATTAGTAAAGAATAAATAACACCCTGACGCATAACTTGGGGAAACAAGGAGATGAACCATGACTTTACCAGCAGGATCCAGAGTACGAAGCGCAATCAAAGCAACGGCTAAACCCCGGGCGATGCGGTTCAGTGAAGGAAAAGGTGACCAGGGAAGAGCAAAGGTTATGGCAACAATTTGGGAGGCATGCGCAAGGTCCTTTGCTTATTAACTTTCTGGAGGCCAAGGAACAAAACACCTGTGTATTCGGAGCGTTTCCAGACAGGCGGTGAAAGCTGTGGTGGGAAACAGTGCTTCTCCATCACGTTGCTCCCGCTCATTCCCCCAGCCCAGTGGGTCTCACCCTTCTTCATGCAGTTCCTCAGGTGGGGGTGACCCCCCAACCATAAAATTATTTTCGCTGCTACTTCATCACTGTAATTTTGCAACTGTCATGAATAGGGCGACTCCTGGAAAAGGGTCGTTCGACCCCCAAAGGGGTCGCGGCCACAGGTTGAGAACCGCTGCTCCAGCCAAACAAGGGAAGCTTGAGGCGTCTCAATGGGACACCTTAGCTGTCCATCCACCTTTCACTCCTGATGTGGCTCCTCGGACTTCCTTTTGTTTCCTAATCCTAGTCTTTAAAGGGCACCTGGTTTTCTTCACTTAATAATGTAAAACAAAAGACCTTATTGGTATGAGTAGATTTCCAGGACCTGCTAGTATTACCGTTAACAAAAGTGTCTTCAACTGGATGGATTGCGTTTTTAATTTTATTTTTCCCCCCAAGAATATTTTGACGACCTCTTATATAGCTGGAGGAGTGACATACATAAAAGTTCTGAAGTTAGAGAAGAGCAAGTGCTTAGGGAAACCAGACATCGTCCCCACATTCTGAAATGTACAATGTGCTAGGATAAATGTCTTGATTTGTGTACAAGAAATGAAGCTGACAGATGGGGCTGGACTGTAAATATCTTTTGCTCTGTGAAAAGCTGCAGTTAGTCGTCTGTTATGAGGTACCACTGAGGTGTTGGAGCATAGAATGGTGTGAGGTCATTTCTGTTTTGTGAAGTTCACTCTGGTAACAGTATGGGAAGGTCAAATGCAAGGTAGCAAGGCTGAGACACAAATAATCAGAAAGGAAACCCCTGGAACAGACTGGGTCTGAGTTGAGCTCTTAAGAAGGATGGAGAGCTAAGGACAAAGCACCTAGTGAGGAGCAGGGCTGACAGAACGTGGTAGTCCTTTAGGCGAGGGAGCCTCGCGAGAGGAAGGCACCCTGGGGTGCCCTGACAGAGTAGTGTGAACCAAGAGAAGAGATGCAGAATGGTCATAGTGAGAAAATGACACGTTTCATTTGAATACAATGTTCCGATTTTGTAAAGCCACGACAGAACAAATTAAAAGAATCACAAGAGAATCTATCCCTGTGGATGCAGAGACAGCCTTCAGTAAAACCCAAGTTTCTAGATGAAAACCTTAATGAAGAATGGCTGGGAGAGAGTGTGACAGAGCTCTTCAATCTATGTGACCTATTTGTGGTTTTCGTTTGGTTTTGGTTTTGGCCTGTGTGTATGGGCTCCCAGAAAGGGGCTAGAATTAGCGGGCACCCCCTCCCGGGGTGGAAAGCAGACGAGTCCCAGGTCTCTGTGTGTTCTGACCTTTGTACATCCCTGTAGCCCTGCTGGCAAAGTGAGTGGGCTCCCCTGTGTCCAGGCCCCTGTTGCTTGCACTTGTGTACACCCAGGCTGGCAAACCTCGGAGCCTCTGGGCTCTGGAAACTAGAACAATCATTAAACCTGGCTTGAGTCTCTGTCTGGCAAAAAAAAAAAAAGTGGAAGAGAAATTCTCTCTGTGGCAACTAACATGTAAAACAGTATTAGTAACAATGCAGAGGGTTTTTTTTGAGGAGTAAATAATGTAACATATTATAAATAAAAATTCCTAAAAGAGCACATGGTTTGCTTTAGCCTATCTTCGATTAAAGGTACTGCCCATATTTTACCGTAAACTGTCTTCAGGATAGCGCTGTCCGACTGCTTCTTGGAGTTGGACATTGAGAAAAGACACATTCTGCCAGGTTTCCTTTTCTCTTATTTTATCAAAAATTGATGTATAGAAGTCATACATAGTATCTCCACCTTCCATTAAGAAAAAATTCCTCATGGCCTGCAAGTACTCGACTAACCTGAACAGGGAGTATATAAACAATAGAATGGTTTTAATTTTGTAAGACAGGATTCTTGGTCAATACCAGGTTTTGTACACTACCATTTGAAGTGAAACAAGTTTACATACAATATTTACTAAAACAAATAGTAACATCTCCTAAAAATACTTGTGTAAATAATAAAAATAGGGTATGTGCTACTTGAGTAATCAAAAAACTAGGCAAGCATAAAAAGGTAATGAAAAAAGAATTGATCCAAATCCCAGCAGTCATGGTAACTTTTCACTACCAGTTCCTAGGGCATTTCTTTCCTTTTCTTCGATGTATTTGGTTGCTACCATGCATGTCCTGCTTTTTAAACACTAAAGACATTTTACATTGTTTAAATCCTTTTATAAACCTAACTTGTACTAATTTTACAAAGTCCATTATCTTGATACAACATAATTTAAAGAACTATTCACCCAGTAGATATTGTTTTGGAAATGATGATGGCAACATATGCACAAATGTGGTGGATACAATTGATGTATGCAATGTTGTAAGAGCTGTAAAAGCCCCCAATAAAATGATTTATTATTTTTTAAAAATCATTTTATTGGGGCTTCATACAACTCTTATCACAATCCATACATACACCAATTGTGTCAAGCACATTTGTACATTCGTTGCCTCATTATTCTCAAAATATTTGCTCTCAACAAAAAAAAACAACCAACTTTTATACTTTACACTCTTATTGGAAATTTTGTGATGGGTACTTTTGTGCTATCAGAAAACTGTATTACTTTCACATAAATTCTCAGAAAGAAACAAAAATAATAATTAAAATGCAGAATATTCCTACAGATGCAAGAGAAAATGTCCTCGCGCTTTCTGCCTGCCTGCCTGTGGCAGCCATGATTGAATAGGGGAGTAGAGTAATGACCAAGAGAAGCAAGGAGAAGATTCCAGAAAAGGACCCATTATGATGTCACACAGTGTTGCATAATTTGTCCTACACCTGTTCATTTAAAAGCGGAAATGTTAAAATATACAGGTGAGAGGTAGAGAAAAAAATACAGAACATAGTTAAGAAAATCTTGAAAGAAAATAATTTTCTTTTTTTACCGGTAATCTTTTTTGAGAGTTTGCATGAGATTTCCACAGCAGTCTAGATATTGTTTATCTATATGAGGATAGAGGCAAGATCTCAGTGTTAACTCAAAAGTCTGGCACGTCACGGATTCTGACGATCTATCCACACAGATGTCACCACCAGCAAACTTCTCATGAAAGTCACTTTGTTCCAAATACAACCTGGAAGAGAAAAACGAGCGTCTTCTTACTGTGAGACACCATCAGTAGAACCCCTGAAAGTCTTGTGTTTACGTCTCTTCATATTACTAACCATTACATAAACCTTTCTTCCCAAAATATCCTTGGGAGAAAGCAGTCGTAAGCCTAAGGTGCATTTTATTTCAAGGGACACAGATTCAATGTGTGTGTCGCATGCCCCCTTTGACCGGAACATTAGTGCACATATGTTGTATGCTTGACAGCACTCTTTAGCTATGGTCCAAAGGCACAAAGAGCACAGCAAAGTCTGAGCAGAAAGGAGGTCATGTCATGTAGGTGAAATCAGTAAACATGGCTTCTTTGGGGCTTCCTTTCACTAAAGATGATAGGCTACAAAGATTTTTGTTAAAGGGCTAGAAACTCTACTGCTCAGAAATAATAAACAGCTATTAAATATTGCTTAGACCCCACTATCTCCATTGTAAACAAAATGTGCAGATGTGCCTAATAACCTTGCAAAATTAATAGCCAGCAGTGGGTCATGCACATCGTCCAGGCCCAAGTGTCGCTCAGCGATGGACTGCATCTTAATCAGGCTCTCTTTGCTGGTCTGCTGCTCCGTAAGGATACATGGGGAAGAATCTTCTCCGTGCCGAAGACGGGATTGCACAGATTCCAGAAAAAGGTTATACAAACTTTTTCTTTCCGCATCTGGAATGTAAGAGAAAAACATCATGCAAACAGCTGGGGTGTTATGTGTTACTGCATCTGCTCTGACTCACAGCGACCTTATGCACAACAGATCTGAGCACTGCCTGGTCACTCCCTGGGCCTGCGCCAGCCTCACAATTGCTCTTGGGCTTGAGCCCACTGATGCCGTGTCAAGGTCAAGGTCCACCTCTTTGAGGGCCTTCCTCTCCTCTGCTGCACCTCGGGTTCACCAAACATGATGTCCTCCAGGGATTGGCCTCTTCTGACAACATGTGTAAAATTTGTGAGACAAAGGCTCGCCATCCTTGCCTCTGGCTGTACATCTTCCAAGACATATCTATTTGTCCTTTCAGCAGTCCATGGTACTTTCAGTATTCTTCAACAGCACAATTCAAATGTATCCATTCTTCTTCGTTCTTCTTTACTCAGTGTCCAACTTTCACATGCATGTGAGCTAACAGAAAATACCACGGCTTGGATCAGGTGTGCCTCAGTCCTCAAAGTAGCATCCTTGCATTACAATACTCTAAGGAGGTCTTGTGCAGCAGATTTGCCCAATGTAACTCACCTTTTTATCTCTCGTCTGTTGCTTCCATAAGCATTGATTGTGGGTCCACAATCAAGACAAAACCCTTGACAACTTCCATCTCCTCCATTGATCATGATGTCACCTATCGGGCCACTTGTAAGAATGTTGGTCTTGTAGACATCTGAGTTGTAATCCATACTGAACGTTGCAATCCTGGATCTACATCAGCAAGTGCTTCAAAACTTCACTTTCAGCCAGCAAGGTTGGGCCATTTACAGGCTGAATGTTCTTTGTAACCCTTCCTCCAATCCTGATGCCGTATTCTCCTTCACATAATCCAGTTTCTCTGATGATTTGCTCATCATGCAGATTACATAAATATGGTGACAGGATACAACCCTGTCACACATCTGTCCTGACTTTAAACCATGCAGTATTCCCGTGTTCCTTTCACATAACTGCCTCTTGATCCATGTACACGTTCTTTTTATTTACTTTTGTTTTTTTCATGTACATGTTCTGCATGAGCAAAATGAAGTGTTCTGAAATGTCCATTCTTCTCAAGGTTATCCGTGGTTTGTTATGATTCCCAAAGCCAAATGCCTTGGCACAGTCAATGAAACACAAGTAAACATCTTTCTGGCATTCTCTGCTTTCCGTCAAGATCCATCTGACCTCAGCAATGATGTCCCTCTGAACCCAGCCTGAACCTCTGGCTGCACGCTGCCAATGTACTGCTGCAACTGTTGTTGGATGAGCTTCAGGAAAATTTTACTTGCATGTGATTTCAGCGAGATTATTCTGAAGTTTGAGCATTCTGTTGGCTCGCCTTTCTTTGGAATGGGTACAAATACAGATCTCTTCCAGTCAGTTGACTGAGTAGCTGTCTGCCAAATTTCCTAGCATAAATGAGTAGTGGTAAGTGCTTCCAGGGCTTCCTCAGCTTGTTGAAACATTCCAATTGGTATTCTGTCAATTCCTGGAGCCATGTTTTTGGCTAATGCTTTCAGTGCGGCTTGATCTTTTTCCTTCAATACCATTGGCTCTTGTTGATAGGCTATCTCCTGAAATGGTAGAATGCCAACTCGTTCTTTTTGGTACAGTGACTCTATCTTCTTTCCATCTCGCTTTGATGCTTCCTGCCTCACTCAATGTATCATTCAATATTGTGACTCTGGGCTTGAATTTTTTCTTGAGTTCTTTCAGTTTAAGATACGCTGAGTGTGTTCTTCCTTTTTCTAACTCTAGATCTTTGCACACTGCATTGTATTTTACTTTGTCTTCTTGAGTGGCCATGTGAAATTTTCTATTTACCTCTTTGACTCCGTTCCTTCCCTTTGCTTAAGTTACTCAGTGATTAAGAACAAATTTTAGAGCCTCTTCTGACATCCACTTTGACCTTTTCCTTCTTTCCTGTCTTTTTAATGGCCTTTTGCTTTCTTCATGAATGATGTTCTTGATGTCCGCCTACATTTCCTCGGGTCTTCTCTCATTAATGTTCATTGCAGCAAATGTCTTCTTGAGATGTTCTTAAAATTCAGGTGGGATAGACTCAAGGTCATATTTTGGTCCATGTGGACTTGTTTCATTTTCTTCAACTTCAACTTGAACTTACAAATGAGCAACTGATCGTCTGTCCCACAGTCACCCCTAGGCCCGTTTTGGATGCTGATACTGAGCTTCTCAATGGCCACTTCCCACCGATGTATCAATTTGATTTCTATGTATTCCATCTGGAGAACTCCATGTGTACAGTAGTCTTTTGTGTTATTTAAAAAAGGAATTTGCTATGAATAAGTCATTGGTTTTCAAAATTCTATCATGCGATCTCCGGGTTCATTTCTAAGTCCATATTTTTTAACTGCTATTCCTTTCTCTGTTTCAGCCTTTGCATTCCAATCACCAATAATTGTCAGTGCCTCTTCATTGATCAACTTCCTGAAACTGAAGACATTGATAGACTTCTTCAATTTCTTCATCACTAGCTTTTGTGATAGGTGCATAAATCTGAATAATAGTTATATTGCTTGGATTTTCTTGAAGGTGTATAAATATAATCCGATCACAGATAGCACTGTATTTCATTATAGATTCTGCAATATCTTTTTTTGGCAATGAATACCACACAATTCCTCTTGATTGTGTTATTCCCAGTATCGTAAATCATATAATCTTCTGGTTCATAGTGGCCAATACCAGTCCATTTCAACACTAATGCCCAATATATCAATCTTCATGTGTTCCATTTCACTTGTGACCACATTTAATTTTAATTCATATTTCCAAGTTTCTATCATTAGCAGATTTTGACAACTGCTTCTCCTTACCTTGAGTCGTGCCCATCAGCAAATGACGATCCTGAAGGGTCCACTCCCCAAAGCTTCACTGCATTCATTTCCCCATGTTCAATCCCCTCAGTCATATTTCAACGCCTTCTGCCCCGAGAGGCCCATCCTCTAGCACTGTCTGACAATGTCCTGCTGTCATTCTTCAGGCCGTCAGTGTCTGATAATGTTTCCATGCTATGCATAAGCTTTCCAGCGGTGACCTCCTTCTTCATGATCTGTTCTTGGTCTGTAAGCTCTGCTGAAGCCTGTTCAATGTGGGGGATGCTGCTGGCAGTTGAAATACCAATGACATAGCTTCCAGCATCACATAAGTCACCAAAGTATGACAAAACTGACAGACAAGTGGTGGCAATGCAAACTATGTTCTGGCAAATAATACATTTACTAACTTTACTATATAATACAGTATATTTTTTTCCTTTGTTACATGAAAACCCATCCTGTTATTTACCAAGAATTTACAACAAAACATTTTTATAAACTTGGTTAAACAATTACAAAGTTTATGGCTAAACATCAAAAAGTATTTAATTGACTGCTTTCCAATATAGAGTAATACCCTAAAAAGGGCTCCTAAAAGTGACCACCATGTTGTTGCTACTGTTAACTGCCACTGCATTGGATTATAAAGTTACTAGTAGAAGCCATAATTTATTGAAAATAAAAACGAAAAATAACCTTCTCACAGTAGGGCTGGAAGGCTATTTTGCAAATTCGGTAAAAGGAAATAATTTTTATTTTAGTAAAATAATTACAATAATGTTAAATTGATTTATAAACAAAACACTTAAAGTCACATCCATGCTATTTAAATCGTGTTAATCAGTTGATAAAACTTTAAATGTATTGCATAAATTACATTGACAAATACTAGAAATTATATCAGATTTTCTTAAAATTCATAATCAAGCCTAAACTACTCATTGACAAATTCTTATCTGTCATAGTCAGTGGTCCTTGAGAGCAAAATACTGGACTTTTAAGCATTAGGAAATGCAAATAATTAAAAAAAAATTTTTGGGGGGGGGCAAATAATTATTTTTTACAGGACCAAGTTTTAGCCACAAAGAGTAAGTAAAATAAGGGAGTTACCAGGTTGTGAAACTTCTGAGCTAGGAAAACTACCATTTGACTTTTAATGTTATGTAAATTTATACATAAAAATTTATCATTACTGCCTTTTCAACAATGAAAACATCTTTTTTTCAATCAAAAGCAGCAACATTTATTAATCTGTTC